GAAAACCTGTGTTCTGATCCCTTTGTATCGCAACCATATAATCAGGACTTCTATACTGAACTTTGTATCCTGTCCATCTTATCTGGACCTTGGTTCCTGATACTTTTGTATCCCAGCTATATCATCCGGACTCCTGATACTGATCACTTTGTATCCTGTTCCATATCCCCTGGATCTTTGGTACTGAATACTCTGTAACAGGTCTATATTCACCCATGGCCTCTGGTGCCGATAGCTTTTGCAGCCCACCATGTCATCCAGAGTTCTGGTGCCGATACTTTGCAGACCCTGCCATGTCATCCAGAAGTTCTGCGTGCCGATACTTTTTGCAGCCCGTCCATGTCATCCAGAGTTCTGGTGCCGATACATCTTGCAGCCCGTCCATGTCATCCAGAGTTTTCTGGTGCCGAAACTTTGCAGCCCGTCCTGTCATCCAGAGTTCTGGTGCCGATACATTTGCAGCCCGTCCATGTCATCGCCTGAGTTCTGGTGCCGATACTTTGCAGCCCGTGCACCATGTCATCCAGAGTTCTGGTGCTGATCACTTTGTAACTCATCCTTATTATACAGACTTCTGACGTGTGATACTTTGTAACCCGTCAATATCATCCAGACCTTTGGTGCTGATATTTTGTAACCCATTTGCATCATTCCAGATGCTTGGTTCTGATACTGCGTTGTAACCTGTCCATAATCTTCCAGACCTGTACGGTGTTGATAATTTGTATTGCATTCATATTATCCGGACTTCTGATACTGATACTTTCTAACCTCTCTCCAAATCAACCAGAACTCTGGTGCTGATACTTTTTTTTAATATCCCGTTCAATATTATCCGGCTTTCCTTTCTGATACTGATACTTTGTAACCTGTCCCAAATTATCCTGACCTCTGGTGCTGATACTTTTTATCCCGTCCATGTCATCTCTGGACTTCTGATACTGATACATTGTAAGCTATTTGCATTCATCCTGAACGACCTCTCTGGTGCTGAACTTTGTAACCTGTCCGAATCATCCAGACCTCTGGTGCATGATACTTTGTATCCCATTCATAATATCCGGACTTCTGATACTTTGTAACCCATTGTAGTATCATCCAGACACTTGGTGCTGATTCTTTGCAACCTGTCCATATCACCTTCAGCAGCAGACATTGCAGCCCCCGGCTCACGTTTTCGATATTCTGCCCCCGTCTGACATTCGATGATTGCTCCCGGACACGGTGTGTATGTAATGTTTAGATACCAGGTCTCAGCAATGATGCTTTGACGTGTCGCTTGTTTGAAAGTCCCTCTCTGTCATCTCACAATGAATAGTCCCTGGTGATGGTATCTACAACTCGCTGACTAGTCCAAGCCAAGTGTATAGCCCGTCCTGCTTGGGGTGGGGGGGGGGGGGGGTTACATACCCGCTAGAGAAGCCAATACAGGTGCCTAAGCAACATAGCATCCTATTCCTGAGGACTTTGCGTTGCTCGGGGGGAAGCTTTTAGGCGTTTTTTAATTAGCATCGCGTTTCAGTCTGGAAACATAATATGTTGGCTGGGGAGGAACTACCAATAATGGCGGAATTTTAATGGGGCCCCACAGCTGAACTCTAGACAGGAGCTTCAACTATGACAACACAACTCATTGATCTTAGACAAAAGAATTTCTAAATCAAGGACAGGCGGCAGGAAAGGTGTCCAGCATAGTGCAGGGCCCTGCAAGAGGAGTGAAAGGTTCCTGTAATCGTAATAATACCTACGACCAGAATAATAGTTATAGCGATAATAATTCCAATAATAATATCAACTATAATGATAAGAATGGAAATAATATTTGTAACAACAATAATAATTCTAATGATAATCCTAATAATAATGACAACTATAATGTTGATAATAATCAAAACAATAATAATGAAAAATAATATAATAATTATCCTAATATTTAATGGCAATAAAAAAAATAAGGGAAAAATATATAAACTATAATGATAATCATAAATAATAATAATAGAATTCATAATTCTAATAATAATAACAACTAACAGTGCAAAAAAAGTATGTGAACCCCATTAAAAAAAAATTACGTGGATAAAAAAAATAATAATGAAAAAAAAAATAAAAAAATGTGCTCTGAACGTAATCTAAGTCAAAAATTAAATAGAAGAACACAGAAATATAAAAATACAAAAAATAAATATAGATGTTGCCATGTATTTAATATGCAAACATAACAGTAAACAATCTAGTGCAGGGAGAAAAAGTATGTGAGGATAAATAACTAATAAAACTCTCCCAGAAAAATTGAAGGAAAAGCAAAAACCTGACTCCAAGAACAGTGTGATGATAAAGGATGTGTTGCTGACACCTGTAAATGGGTATAATGGTTTCAAGAAGCAATGTCTGATGTGAACCATTGCCATCACAGAAAAAATCTAAAAGACCTGTATGAATAATTATGAAAATGAAGCTGGAAAGGGTTACAAAAGTATCAAATTCCTTAGCCTTGATTAAAAATTAAAGAATATAAAAAACTAATAATACAAATGGAGAAAGTTTTTTAGCACTGTTAACTCTACACCTAGGCGTGTTAAAATAAAAAAAATAAACTAAACAAGAGCACAGCGCAGAATGCTGCATAGGTAAAGAAGAATCCCAAAATGTCAGCTAAAGACCTAAAAATCTCTGGCACATGCTAAAATTTTTAAAAAAAAATGACACATCTACAATAAGGAAAACATTAAACAAATGGAGTACAAAAAAACAAAAAATAAAAAGCCATTTAGTTTAAAAAAAAAAGATTAAATAATAAGAAAATTTGCAAAAGAGCATATGGATAAAAAAATTAATAAACAGCACAAAAAAAATAAAGCTAAAAAATATACTGTGGACACGATGAAACCAAAATTGAGTTGTTTAGGGAAAAACACATAAAACAAAATGTGTAAAAAAAAAGGCCCAACAAAAACATCAAAACCTCATCCCCACTGTGAAAAAAGCGGAGGGAGCATAAATATGGTTTGAAAATAAAAAATATTTGCTGCTATCAGGCCAAAACGATATATAGTTGTCATTAAAGATGGGAAAATAAAATTCCAGATAAATCAAACATTTTGCAGGAAAAAGTACGACCAAACTAAATATAAACTAAAGCTCCGCAAGGATGTGGGTGATAAAAAAAACAGACAATGACCCAAAGCAAAACAAAATTATCAAACAAAACAACGGCTGGCAACAAAATAAAAAAATAAAAATAAGAATGGCCCAATCAAGTCCTGACCATCAACCCAATTAGAAAATAGTAAAGAAAAAAATTAATAACAAAATTCTAAAAACCTATCTAAGAAAAAGAAAAAATAATAAGAATTATTGCTACACTGAAACATTTTGTGAAAGAGAGTGGTCCAAAATGACTCCAGAATTCTTTTTTTGTGCAGGTAAATCTGCAACTACAGGAAACGTTTGGTTAATTTGCTGCAAAAGGAAGGGTCAACCATTATAATAATTAAGTCCAAAGGTTTCAAACATACTTTTTCCTCCCTGCAAATAATATAAAATACAATTTTAAAAAAATTAAAAACCATGGCAACAAAATAAAATAAAAAATAAAATTATATAAAAATAAAAAAAAGAATAATTCAGCAAACGGGTGTTACAAAATAATTGTTGTGACTTAGAAACGTTTAGAAGCAATAAATAATATAAAATAAAAAATTAAATGCAAAACTCAACGTAATCCCAATAAATCACATACTTTTTCATTAAAACTATTATATATAATTATATCCAATAATGATAATAATAATAATAATGAAAAATAAATAATCCTAACATGAAATGGCAAATATTAGACCCTTTCTAAAATTAATAAAAAGAAATATAAAAAAATAAATGCCTGCCCAGATTAATAAATTTAAAAAGGTTTCCAAAAAATAATCACCCACACTTTGAATACAATTGCGCGTAATCATACAACATTTGTAAAATAAAAAATTTTATCATTTAAATCTTCAACAACTAAAAAAAGTAAAATATTACAAATAAATTTTTATATATTAAAACAGGTTAATAGGGTTTTTTTTTAATTTATTGCTAAACTTAAAAAAAAATAAAAAAAAATTTGAAAAAAAAAAACAAGAATTATTAATTTTTCAAGTTAACAAAAGTTTACAAATAAATAATTGTTTCAAAATCAAAATTTAGGCCGAAATGTATTCTGCTACAAATCCTTTAAGAAAATAATAAATTAAAATATTTTAGTTTCTAAAATAAAAAAATAATAAAACAAATATGGTATAATAAAATATTGATCATATCCTGAAGTAGATGTAAAAAAAAAATCCAAAAATAAAATTTTTGAGGTCCAAGAATTTCAAATAAAAAATGAATAACCCCAAATCAATAAAAATAAAATATTATCCCCCAAATGTCAGGACAGTACAATATTATGTCAGAATATAAAATAATAATAAATTAAAAAATAATAAACAAATTCAGAAAAGTACAGATATCCCCCAAATTGTCAGGACCAGTAAGATATCCCCCAAATGTATCAGGACAGTACAGATATCCCAAAATGTCAGAACAAATAAAAATATCCCCCAAATGTCAAACAATACAATATCCCCCCCAAAATTCAGGACATAAATAAAAATCTCCCCAAATGTCAGGACAGTACAGATATCCCCCAAATGTCAAGAACAGTACAGATATCCCCCAAAATAAAAAGAATAAAAAATATCCCCCAAATATAGGATAGTTCAATTCCCCAAATGTCAATAAAACAGTAATAGATATACCCCAAAATAAATAAATTACAAATAAAAAAAATGTCAGAACAGTACAATTATGCCCCAAATATAGAAACAATAATTAAAGATAAATCCCCAAAAAATCAGGAGAGTAAACAAATAGCCAAAAAATGTCAGTACATTATAAATAAGAATCCTCCCAAAAAATGAAATTAGTACAAATATTAACATACAAAAAAAGAATATTACAAATAAAAAAAATTAAAAAAAATAAAACAGATATTCCCCCAAATGTCAGGAATAAGTAACAGATAACATATAAATGTCAGAACAGTAAGATAATCCCCCAAATACAAATAAAGTATTAAATATTAACCCAAAAAATAGAAGTAGTTAGATATTCCCCCTAAAATGTAAGACAGTAACAGATAACCCCCCAAAAATCAGAAAAAGATACATGATATTAATGAAAATAAAAATTCAAACAAAAAAAAAAATAATTAAAAAAATACAGCAAAGAGATTAACAAAATAAAAAAAAAAATAAAAAGAACATAACAGATATAAAAAAAAGTAAATAAAATTATTATTAAATGTCCAGGACTAATACTTAATATAATAAAAAAAGAACATAATAAAAATATATAAAAAAATAAGTTCAGGACATAAGATATTAGAGAAAAAGTCAAAGATAAAATAAATCCCCCAAAAATAAAAAAAAAAAGTACAAAAAAATTGTAAGAACAAAATACAAAATAAGTTAAATGCAAAAATAAAATATATAAAAAAAATAAAGAAAAAAAAGATAATCCCCCCAAGATGAAAAAAAATAAATTAATAATAAACAAATACAATAAAAAATCATAAATGAAATGGCGATTGTTTAAAAAAAAATTGTATTTTTTTGTTAAAATAATTTATTCGGAAAATAAAAAAATATAAAAAAATTATATCGTTCAGAATTGAATATTAATAAAACTGTTCTACCAAGTTGCAGTGCATCGATAAAAAATAACTGGCATGGCGGTGATCAATAACACATAAAAAAGAAAAAAAATTGTAAAAAAAAAAAATATATTAAGAAATAAATATAATATATTTAAAATTAATAAAAATTATTAAATTTTTTTTAAGAGAAAAGAAAAAGAATATATATAATTCATATTCAAAAATGACCAAAGTAAAACAATATTAAATAGTCAACTATTAAAAAAATTTAAAAATAAATAAAAGATAAAATTTTTTTTAACAATTAAGAATTAGAAAAAAATAGAACTTGCTAGTAAAAAAATAAAATACCATGAAATAAAATCGATATAAAAGTTTTTATAAATTTTTTTAGAAAATAATAAAAATAAGTAATAATGTAATTTGCACAAAGCAAACCAATGAAAAAGGTAAATAATTTATATCATCACTGAAATTAGAAATAGCTAATGAATTATTAGTATACATAAAAATATAAAAAATAGAAAGCCTTTCAAAGATAAAACTAAAAAAAAAAAAAAAATAAATGAAAATTGTCAACAATAAAAAAATAAATTTAAAGAAGCAATTTGATATATAATTTTTCTCATGTTAATGTCATAAAAAAAATAATAAAAAAGGTACATATATGAAAAATAATTTATAAAAATTAAATCATCAGATATGCAATAAATGAAATATGTTCTTGGAAATAAAATAAATAAATGTTATAAAAAATAAATTAAATAAAAATTAAGTTGAGCGGAAACAATTTGGCCCATAGGCCGCTGGAGGGCGTAAATGATTTGAAAAAAAAATTATAATAATAAAATTTTTATTAATTTTTTTTTTTTAATCCTAAATTTTTCTTTATTTTAGAATAACAAAAAATTATAATAAAAAAAAATTTTTTAATTATTAATTGATATATTTTTTTTTAATATATTTTTTTTTACAAATTATTAATAATTAAAAATAATGTAAAAAACAAAAAAAAATTTATTTAAAAATTTTTATAATATTTATTAAAAATTATAAAAAATTTTAATAATAATTTTTATATTTAAATATAAAAAAGCGCCAATACTAAATTTTTATATTTATTCGAAACTATATATTTTTTTAAAAAATTAAAATAAAAAAATAATTAAAAATAATATAAAATCTAAAAAATTATAAAATTAAAATAACTATAAATAAAAAAAATAAAATACGTTATAAATAAATGAAAATTATAATATATAAAATTTTAAAAATTTATTAAAATTTTTTAATATTTATTTTTTTATTTTTTAATAAAAAAATTTTATTTTATTAATAAATTGCGAAAAATTTAATAATTTTAAAATATTTTTTTTAATAAAACAAAAAACGAGAAGTAAAATTATTATAATTTAAAATTTAAGAATATTTTATGGTTATAGTTTTAAAGAAATTTTCTATTTAGATTTTTTTTATAAAAAAATATTTAATAAAATAATAGGAAAAAAATTTAAAAATTTTATTTAATTTTTTTTTTTTTTTTTTTTCATAGCCCGCTCGGCTTTTTTTAATATTTATTTGATATTTTTTTAAATTATCTTTATTATTAAAATTTTTTTTTTTTTTTAAAAATTTTATTTATTATTTTTTAATATTAAACGGTATTTAAAAATCAAGATTATATTTTTTTTTATAGTTCTTTGAAAAAAATACAATAATTTTATTTTTTTTTTATATGATATAAAACAGAATTGTGGGCATTTTTAATTTTTTATAAATATTTTAAAATTTAGAAAATCTTTTATAAAAATAAAAAATTATTAACATTAATAAAAAAAATTATGTTTTAATAAAAAGCTTATTTTTTATAATACGAAAAAATTTTTAAATTAAAATAATAAATAACAAATATAAAATAATAAAAATAAAAAATGTATAAAAATTTTTCTTAAAATATTATTTTACTGATATAAAAAAATAAAAATTTATAAAAAATTTTTAAATATATTTAAAAAAAATTTTTTAAATTATCCTGTAAATATAAAAAATTATCTAATTTTAAACTACATAATATATTAAAATTTAATATTATATATTTTAATAAAAATTTTTTATAAATTTATATTTATAAAATAAAATATAATTAATAAAATTTTATAAATTAATAAAATATTTAAATAAAAGGTGTAGTCTTATTAAAAAATAAATTAAAATTTAAAAATATAATCAAAATGTATAAAAATTTAAATATATTATAAAAAAAATTATTCTAATAAGCCCGGCAATTTATATAATTAAACAAAATTACAAACATATAGTTTAAATATTTATTATAAATAAATATATATAAATATTTAAATATAAAAAATTAATTTTTTAAAAATTAATTAAAAATTGTTTTAAAAAAAATATTTTATATTAACTTTAAATAAAAATAATAAATAAAAGTTTTAAATAAATTTTTTAATTAAATAAATTTTATTAAATATTTTTAATTAAATAAAAAAAAAACTTTGATAATTAAAATAAAAAAAAAACTTTTAAATTTTTTGTTTTATTTTTAATATTTTAAATTAAAAATTTTTTTTTAAATGCAAAATTTATAAAAAATAAATTTTATAATATTTTTTATTTTTTTCATAAAAAAAAATTTTTTATTTATTTTTAAAAAAAAATCCAAAAAAAAATAAATATATTACCAATTTTTAAAATTAAAAGAAAATATATATTAAATTCAAAAAAAATAAAAAAAAATTAAAAAAACTTTAATATAACAAATTTTAACATATTATTTTAAAATATTTATATTAAATTTTTTTTTATTTTATATAATAATTTATTTAAAATATTTAAAAATAAATTATATTTTATTTTTATAGCGAATATAATTTATTTTTAATAATCACAAAATTAATTTTATTTACAAATCAATTTTTTATTTATATTATTTTTATTTTTAATTATTTATAATTTTTTTAATAATATCTATAAATGCAATACATCGTAAACTTCTCATCCATAATCAACCAATGACATGGTACAGGAAGTACCGTACTACTTTTGTACCGTCATTGTTATAATGTAGAGAAATCTAACGTTTGTTGTATTTGCTTCTCACCTACAAATAAAAATAATATTATTTCCATTTCTAATCCTATTATTTCCCATAGCGAGCGATCGATTATTCTCATTATAAGAAAATTTAATAATAGTCGCCTATGGTCAAAATTATATAAACTTACTAATAGTGATCAGCTGGCAAAAAAACCACAATATATTAAGTGTACAAAATAATAAAAATTTGCCGCAAGAAAATATATATAAATATATATAAAGAAATCATCAAATCATAAGGTCCCAAAAAATATATATATACCAATACCACAAGAAAAATATAAAAAAATTTTTAGGGTGCAAAAAAAATTTTGGCAAAAGGAGTGCCCCCAATATAAAAAAAGTAAAATAAAAAAA